GTCTGGAAGAAGAGGAGTCTTAAAACACCAGGAGCTCACTTTGGATCTCTGGGTATTTCATCATCAGTAGGATGGCCCACTGCAGCGTGGTGGCTGTGGTCTCTGTGCCCGCCATGACCAGGTCAAGTATGGATGCTATTAAGTTGTCATCGTGGAAGAGGCTGTCTTTCTTGTTTTTCTCCTTGAAAAGGACAAGCGTGAGAAAGCTTTTAAAATAGTGTTAGTATTCAGCAAGTTTGGGAAATAGTCTGTAACCCAGAAGAATGTTGGGTATGACTGTGTGTTTGAGAACGGTGTGGTAAATGGCCTGATGCTGCTCCTCCTGGGCCTGTGGAGTCTGCACTGAACCTTCCTCCACAGTGATGGGAAGAAGACTAATGCCTCACGTTGGCCCAGATCCAGTGGGAAAGAAGAAAAGACTCAGAGCATAAATACTTTGTGTCGAATGAAATCAACCGATGTGTGAAATTGCAGTCTCTACTAAAGTAAGATGCAGGGCTAGGCTGCAAATGCACTGACCATTTATCATTCCAGGACTTTAAGTGTATCATTCATCTTGGAGCAACAGTATCAATGATTAATTGATTTGTTGTCGTAAAAAGAAAAGCACAGTCAGCTTACATGTGAGTTCGTGCGTTTTCTACTACAAACAAGACTTCATGTCACATTATTAGCACTGCTATTTGGGGAATGGATTGAGAGAATGGCTTTCACATCTCAATTTTGATAGAAAAATCCCTGCAGTAAAGTACACCAACCATACAAGACTGGAATCTGATTTCAGTGCCACTAGAGCAATAGAATTAATTTCAGTAGGGTTACATGATAGGACTGAAATCCAGATCCACATCCCTTTTAGCTAGAAAAGCCGAAGGAAACATCACAAACAGCCAGCAGAGCCCAAGCAGTCCCATACCTCGTGCTGCTTGAATACCAGTGCATCAGTGTAGCTCCTCACACTGTTCTCATTGATATCTTCCCTGCTCGCCTTCATGTACTGCCTTATAATAACACGCACATCTTCTATTTTCTTAAGCAAAATCTTGTGAGTTTTGAAAAGAAATCCAAGGAATGGGTAGAAATTGAAATACTAATAAGAAATTAAAAAAAAAAAAAGAGAGAGAAGCGTTAGGTGTGCAGGAGAATCAACATGCTGAAATAGCTTCTTCCTAAGGCGTGACAGATGAGGTGAGTTTTGTCTGTAGTACTGTCTGTGTATCCTGGGGAGTTCTGGAGGGGACAGGCTCATTTTCACAGGGATGGGCTTTGAAACCTATCAGCCTTTATGCAGTACAACTCAATTTTAAGCTTTTTTACTGTTCAGTGGAAACTGTTCTTCCACCAGTAACAGACTGGCCAGGAAAAAATGCTAACCGTTGGGACAGGTTACTTACATTCAAGTATGGAGATCCCAGAAGAACCATAACTTCATCTATGAGTCTTAGGAGAGTGAGAAATGTTGGGTCCTTATAATCAAACCTGTCCCCAAAGAGCATGAGGAAGGTGATGTTGATCGGAGCGATGCTGAAGGACCTCAGGCTGAAAGGTTCCCCTGCAACGAGAGGAGGAGAGCAGTGTCAGAGTGACGTGGATGCTGCAGAGCACCGCGGTGGGCTCTGGCTCACCTTTGAAGGATTTGATCTTCTCAATGAGAAAGTGAAGCTCCTCACAAACTTTCCCCTCCATCATCTGCTTCCCCATGCCGAGGTTGCGCATGCTGGAAACGGTGAACCTGCGCGTTGTTCTCCACAGATCGCCGATGGAAAAGAACACACCTGGGGCAGCCACAGCACAGCCAGTGAGTTCTGGGGCTGGGGGAGGAGGGAGCTCCCCAAGCTTCTGCTGCCCAGTTCCCATGCCTTTGGGAAACTGGGGTCCCCCATTTCTCTGTGCCCCGGCCCTGCACCCTCTCAGCTCAGCTTTCCTGGTCACACTGAGCCTGCTGGCTGCAGTGAAGGGAGGGCTGTCAGACCCACACCGTGGGGTTGGGGGGGAGCTGCTCTGAGTCAGCCGTGCAAACTCTCTGACCCTGTTTGGTTGCGAGGTGGGGCCTCAAGCAACAGCCTTGTCTCTTTGAAGCTTCCCCCTTTGTTCTATTCCAATCATAAAGATCTTTTATCTTTGTGGGATGGGATGATTCACTCTCCTCGATCCCAGTCAGTGCTCTACTGGTTTTTGAGATTCCCAGTAATACTAAAAACACCCCCGCTTTGGGGTGGAGAGGAAAAGTAATTCTTCAGAAAATCTGTGACCCTTGCTACCTACAGCCTGTGCAAGTTTATGGCTTTGGGTCACCTCTGAGCAGATCTGACTTGGGTTGAGAAGATAACAGAGAAAGGACTGATAGAGCAATACTGGCAGCCTCCCACAGGGATATTTTATGTGTAAATTAGCTCTGAATGATGCTTTTCCCCCCATCAATTCCTTTTCCTTATGTAGCGATAAATTCATCTCTTGATATTATGGCTGGGTAATTTAATTTCTAATTGTAATCCCAACTCTGGCCTGTGACCAGCATACAGAACTGCCTTTTGGCTGTTCACACCAGAGCCTGGCTGGAGGAACAAGGCAGGATGTCCTCTGATGTCCTTGGGAAAACCACGGGGATGTCTGGGGAAAGAATTTCCAGCCTCAGCCCATTGCTGAACAGAATACACATCCCACCTGAGAGCTCTGGTGGAGGGAGACAAGATGCTGGGGAGTGACTGTATCCAGAATGGATGCCAGGCACGGGGATGAAAGGGTAAACCTGTGCTTTTAAAAACCCCACTCCTCGCCCTCCAATGAGAGGATAAGGGTTGACTGCAAATGCACTACCAAAAAATAATGACAGTGGAAATGCACTGCATGAAAGTGAGGGAATGCCATCGGTGTAGGGAGGGTCCAAGGAGCTTTTGAAAGCCAGGCTGCAGGGAGCAGTGCCAGACTGGCACTGAGCGGCACCGTCCCTCCCACCCCCCCCTCATTGCTCTAGTACCGTTTCCATTCTGAATTTGGTCAAATATTGGGATGGATGGTCTGTCTACAAACTCCTCTGTGTAGTTCACAAGCGCCTCCCGCACAACTTCGTACCCAGTCAGGACCACAACTTTCTGGAAGCCAAAATGGAGGGTGAAGACCGGGCCGTATTCTTCCGCAAGCTGAAAGAGAGGCAAGCTGTGATGGTCAGCAATGAGGGAAAGTCCCTCAGTCAGCACTCCCTGTGGTTGAGCATGGGATGCTCTGCACGGGTGAGTGGAGGGGTGCTCAGATTTATTGCCCACACCCTGTCAATGCATTGCTAATCTGATCTCTTTGTTAAGGAGAAAGTGAAAAAACATAAGTGCAACACATGGAGTTACACTGGACTTCGGATGGCAGTGCAGGTTGGCCAACCAGAGAAAGACCAGAATAGTGCAAATAGTGATGCTGTTATACTGGATAGCCCTTGCTCCTCTCCCGTGCTCCTGCTGCTGCTAGATCAAGGGATTGGAGCAACAACAGGGCAGTGCAGGGCAGTGGGGAAGGGTCTGCAATGGCTGAAGGAGAGCATGTACACAGCCTCTGCCCACACGGTGCAGCCACAGCTCATGCAGAGGAAAGAGTGCATCCCCACCTGCCCAGCAGCACCCCAGCAACGTGCCCAGCCAGCCATAGCGCAGTGCAGACACTGCTTTGGTGTTAATCTGTGGGGTGAGGAACAGGGATAACCCCTCTGGATGAATCCCAAATTAAAGTCAAATATAGGTGACTGCAAATACAACGGAGCAGGCAGTGAGAGCACACAGAGGTCATTCAGAAACTCAGTCTGAAGGCAAACCTGTGCCCAGCACGCTCACCCAGCTGGGTGCACACCTGCACTGCCCATAAGGCAAAGCAGCAATGCAGCCTCAGCCCAGCACTGCACACCCGATAACCACCTGCATTCACCCAGCACTGGAGTGATGGAACCCTCACTCGAGGAGGGAGCGATGCACAGTGCTGGCTGTGCCAGTTGTGCCTGGCACCAACACACAGCTCCAGCATGAGCGGGGTAAGATGTTCTGATTGCAAGCCAGTGGAAGAGCTTCCAGGCTTCTCCTTCTGGTTCCTCAGCTCAAGCTTCCCATCCCACCCTTCTGCTGCTGTCCGGATTTTATTGCAGATCCCTTTCATTCAGAGGGAAATAGGTTTTGCAATGGGACATCTGGATTTGGGGTCACTGCATCACGACATTCCCCCACTGCTTCTCTAGGATGCAGGGAGGGAAGCGGTTTCCATTCACGCTAGTTCTTTCCTAATGCTGTCCACATTTTCTGGGTGTCAGAGCTGTCAAATTAATATTTAAAGTCCCACAAGTGCTGCAGACTTCATGTACATCATCGCAATTACATGAAGAAATCTCATATTACCCAGAGGTGTTTTTCTTAACGGTTGATTGCTCATAAATGACACTGCACCAACACAGACATTGGCTTGAAGAAGACCAGAAAGAAAATATTATAAAGCAGTTTCCACACCTTTACTATTTAGTTCAAATTTAAAAAGACAAAAAATTAGCGCTGATACAGCCCAGGCAGCTTTACAATGCACGAGGATCCAGGTTTGGGTTTTTTGTCCTACCTTCATTAGTGACTTATCTTGCCTTCTGATGTCCACCAAATGCAGGTTACCAATGATCGGAAGAGGAGTTGGACCAGGAGGCAATTTAAACGTTGCATTTTTAGAGCCGGTTGAAAAATAGAGCACAGCTAACAGCACTGCTGCACACAGCAGACCCATTAATACAGGATCGGAGATAAAAGAAATTAAGAAAGCCATTTTTTTTTAAAGTACTACTCTGGTTTTTGGTGTTAGAAGCAATCAAAGCGCAGTGGCAGCGCTCAGCTCCTGCCAGCTGGCTCTCTGTTTGTTCTCTGCGATCGCTACAAGCACTCGATTCTTATTAAGGTTTGTAGAGTACCTAAATAAATACTGCATACTCCACCCTCTTTAAACACCTCAGAGAATGTGGTCTAAGCAGTTTGCAAAGCCTGTCCAGAAGTAAAGAGAGTTTCAAATTACAAACCCATGCATGTGTGTGCAAGAACATATACATGGGAAAAGGTGCTTGGCATTCCTCTACTGCCTCCTCCGCCCGAGACCTCCAGGTCCCTCACTGGCAGTGCTCTGACCCTCCGAATGCTGTTGACACGGGGGAATGGAAAGGTTCCTCTGAGCACTATAGGAAACCCCCAGCTTTGGGTTTGGATGGGGCTTGGGATCTTGGGGCTGCTAAAGAGAGAAGCGGTTAGGGGAGGCTTTGACTTTGTCTGTGTCAAGTGGAGATCAAAGGTTGTTAATGATGGTAACGGCCATGTATCCCGGGGTGCTGTAGCCCATAAAGCTCACAGAGTGGCTGCGCAGTGCCCGGAGGGGATGGGATTGCAGACTTCTGAGGTGCAGGACATGTAGGAGCTGGCCATGGAAAATTAGCACCGGTCAAGTGATCGTGAGTGGATTGTGTATAAATTAAATGGGAAGGCAAAATTGGATCTGAAGTTGCTGGGAGGGGTTCCTCATTTGGAAAGAGCAGCTTCTAAGAGACAATGGGGAGAAATTAATGAAGCTAATGAAGCTAGCTGAGCTGGAGAGCTGCAGAACCTGAGCATGATGGAGAATGGAACTATTGTGAGTCAAAGGTATGAAACACCTGGAGCATGCATTCCTCTTGAAGGTTCCCATACCCTGCAGAAGGGACTGAGGTCTGGCAGGCTGAGCCGTGGCTGTCAGAGGGATGCTGGGAATAAACCGTCCATGGAATACATTTGCTCAGGGAAGAAAGGTCTGTCGTGATGCGATCAGGAAGCACAAAGCTCCTTTTATCCAAAGCTTTGATTGTGTAGGGGATGTTATTCGACAGCATGTCCTCAGCGTTGTGAGAGCAAAGAGGGCTTTGAAGGCAGGAGACCTGGTGTGCAGGGGGCATAGCGTGGTCCTGGAGCAGCTCTGGTGCACACGTGCTGCAGAGATGTGGCGGTGTGGCAGAAGCAGCGAATGTGTTGCAACATTTCTGGGATTTTTTTTATTAGATTCCAAGAAATGGGCTGGAGGCGACGCTTTTCTCTAGAGCATGTCTTGTGTGACTCAGCCCTGCTGCAGCCAGCACGGAGCTGTAGGGGTGCGAAGCAGGAGAGCAGGGCCGGGGTGGCACAGGGTGCAGAGCGGAGGCACAGCACTGTGCTGTGTGTGTGCTCCTGCAGGGCTTGGTCTGACCGGAGAGCTACGTGCCACTGCCGTGCTCCTGGTATGTCATCCCTGCCCTGGGAGCCGCCAAAATAATAAAAAAGCCTTTCAGAGAGAGATTTAAATTATGTCTGAAAGGCCGGGAGGGGGGGGGGAGAGCGCGTTGGGTTTTTTTAAACCTACCAACCTCTGAATGCAATGCATTAAGATGACAAAGGTAAGTCAAGCTGTTGTGATGACAAGAAATTCCTGTCTCAATAACCCGTCTGGTACGTGTTCTGCTCCGGAGCCACGCTGCTACGTGCTGCCCTGCCCGGCACCCAGCACACAGCCCTGCCAGGCAGCGGCACCGCGCGGGCTCCAGGTGAGCACCACAATGCAATGCAGTCGTATTTCTTCCCTACCTGGCTTTTGCCTTGAAGAACATGGAGCTGTATCCTTTCTCCAGTGTGATAGTTTTTAACGGGCAGAAGAAATCTGTTTCCTTTATTAGTTTAAATGTGTTGCCATTCACTTTAATTTTCCATTTTCCCTCTGCGATGAGAAAAGGTTGATGGGAGCAGATGACTCCAATCATCTCTGGGACACTGAGTGGGCCTGTCCTTCCTTCCTCCCTTCTCCATCTCCTCGTTAAGGCAAACAGACACATTTTCCATGCCAGTGTGGACGTGGAGGGTTTTCCTTCTCCATCACTGTTTTCACTTCCTCCTATCCCAAATGCTCTGCAAGTAAATCCTTTTAGAAATATGATAGCCAGAACTTGAAGACACCTCAACTGGTTGTCTGTCTCCTTGGGACCAATGCAAGAAAAAGCCTGGCATGGCATTTTCAGCATCTTGTAGGTCTTGGAGGACTCCAATTCACCAGATAATCAGCTCTGAAAATTCTTCCCTTCTTATAAACGGCATCAACTTGTGGATGTGCAAATGCTTAGGAAAAGAGATACTTTTGAAGGGACAATTATCAAAGCAGTGGAGAAGCCTTTTTGGTTGTGACTTTCTAGAAACGGCCTGGTTTCCTTGGAGCTGTTTGTGGCTCTGGGCATTGCTCACACTTTGTATTGTTAAACATGTTCTGGCCGCGTGTTGCCCAGGGATCCCTGCACTCCCTGTGGGCGTACAAAAGGAGGTGCAGCCCAGCTTTATCAGTTTGACCCTAAATCTACTTTATCCTGCAATGCCAGATAGATAAACAGCAACAGAGCAAAATATTTATTTGTTAAGTAGGACCTAAGGTCAAACTTGCAGTAGTTAGACTGCAAACAAAGCAGCAGCAAAATGAATGTAAGCAAGCATAGCAGCAAAAGCATTCTTGTTACACAGCTTGTTCAGCAGATTCCTTGAGCTGGATCGGAAGCTGGAGCTGGCCTCAAGGCACAGCACAAGTGAAAGTGCAGCCCCAGTACAAGCACAGGGAACGTACGAGTGCAGTACTGGGACAAAGCACAGCGCAGCTATCAGAGTGCTGCCCGTAGTTGTGAACTAAAGCTGTGAAAAGTCAGAGCCTTGGCTGAACAAAGAGTGACTACTTTGTCATCTCTTCGTACTCTCTTGCTCCTTTCTTTCCTTCCACTTGTAGCACAGATCAGGTTTAGATGACAGTAACATTTTGTGCTAGACTTGCCCCAGCCACCCCCTCAATCTCTGTAACTGTCAAGTCTCTCCCTTTTTTCTTTTCATCCTGACTTGCCTTTCTTGCTTCCAAAGCAACGCAAAGCATCTTCAGTGACTCACCACTCTCTAACCCACATCTGGTTTCCTGCCTGTGTTAACAGACAAAGCCTCCTCTCTTACCCGCACCATCATTCAGGTTTCACACCTTTCCTCTGCAGCACAGCTCCTTGTTCCTACACATAATGGCTGCTCCAGAAGATAATCATTAACTGTTCTAACCAAGCAGCCGCCCTAGGAAGGCTTCCCTCTGTGCTGACACCAGCTCTGTGCACAGACCCCATGCACCAAGCTCATGGCACAGTAACAGGCTGGGTAGTAAGCTCTAGCCCACCTCTCTTTCCAGTTTTACAGTTTTTAGTGGCTATGGGAAAAACCTAATGGACTTTGTCAGCACTGCAGGGTCTTTGCTGGCAGTGTGAGCATTTTCAGCTCTGTGTTTGTAACATTTGTTCCCATGCAGGTGACCACAGCACTGCCTCAGGCTAGTGTGCAGCATCACGTGTGCTGGTTCAGAAACCACTCACTTTCTGTGGCTGCTTATTTTCTGCCAGTGTAGGGTCAGAGCTGGTCTACAGTGTGGCTGGACTTGTGTCAGAGCCAGGAAAGGCAAGGGAGTGGGAGAAATGCTTTCCTTAGTGTGAAAGCTGCAAGACTGGCCCCTTCATAAATAGGCTCTTCAGGATAAAACATCCAGTGCAATGTGGAATGAGCCCACTTTCCAAACCACTTAGCAATTTCCTGATAACTGACCCATGCCTGGCTCTTGGCATCAGCCCGTGTCACACCCGAGTGTCTGCGACGCTGTGATAAAGATAAGGCTTTGCTGCACAGTGGCAGCTCAGTCCAAGGCTCGGCTCAACAGCCATCCCAGGGAGACTTCCAGACCCTCTAAGGGTCTGTTGTCTTCACCTGGGCCATGGATAACCAGCTCTGCTATACAGCTGGGATTCAGGCTGAGAAACTCCCCGTGGAGGCTCTCAGTGGAGAGCCCCTGGTGGGTTGTTTGTAGGGAAGGCTCAAAACTGGGTCATTCTTTGAAATTGCCCTGAAAACTGCATCTCTGGTATTCCAGGGGTGGGTCGTGCTGCATGTGGGAGCAGTGCTCAGAGGTGTCTGAAGGGTTTGCATCGTACAGAGGGTACAAGAGCTCTTGGAAAGGATCATATGAACAAAAGACAAACAGCAGAACCCAATGCCCTTTCCCTAAAGCTCAGGCAGACAGCTTTTCCCCCTGTAGCTAGGCTTGCGTTCAAGCTTGAAATGCCCACTACACTACTTCCCTGTTGTCTGATCATTTGCAGGGCACAGCACAGACCAGGTGAGGCATGGGGTTCAGGGTGAAGCCGACGTCAGCAGTGAGATCTAGCTCTGCTTTGCTCACCCCTGGAGGGGGCTGGAAAACAAATTTGCGGAGCAAGCCTGCGAAGAAGAGGAACAGCTCCATTTTGGCCAGGCCTTCTCCAACACAAGCCCTTCGTCCTGAAAACAATCAGGAGAGAAGTAAACGTTAAGCAGTGGAACTGTTAGTGATGGCATCCGAGACCTTCTAAACTGGACACACAGTCTGTGCATCTGAGGTAGGAAGCTTTTCCTTCCTTTTCTCTGTATATTGGGGAGGGGGGGAAGGTGGGGGAACTGCTGACTTAGTGTCAAGTTGCCTGGAAGCCTGTATGTGTGTGAGATCATCCAGTGCCTGGGGGTAAATAAGCATCTGCCAGATCTCCCAGGGAACAGCAGGTTATAGCAGTGGTGGACAGGACCAATGTCCAGAAACCTCTTATCCTGTCTTATCAGTGTCCTTCACTTACATACTTCCCTGAGGTCAGTGGGCATGGTGCTGTTAGCATAGCCCCAGGATGGGCACAAATTACCCCTCTCACCTATGGAGAATGGAATGAATGCCTCTCTCCTAGCAAAGTTCCCATCAGCATCCAGGAAGTGGGAAGGGTTGAACTGATGTGGGGTTTTCCAGTGCAGCTCGTCATTCAGAGCAGAGGTCAGCAGCGGTATAATCTCTGTACCCTGCAAGGGATCAAAGAAGCAGCTGTTTGGAGCAGAAGGAAGCTGGGATAGCTTTCTTTTTTTTTCCCATGTGAAGAAACAAATAAGACTGAGCCATGGCAAACAGAACCAGAGGATGCTTCCTGGCCCCACTGTGGCTTTGCCTGTTATCAGTAGTTGCTGCTCTGCTTTTGCACCATGAAAGCTTTGTTCTTGCAGATTCAGACAGATCTTTTCAGAAGTATACTGAAGTACAGATTTCACTTTGGGCATAATAGAATCAAACCAATGTGACTTCATTAAGGTCTGGTTATTCTGGATTCAAGTAGCTGTAACAGGCTACAATCCACTATGTGTTTTTAACAGTTGTTCTGCATCCAAGACGAAGAACTGCATGGTAGATTAAACCAAGCATCAAGGCATCTCTAGATACTTAGATATTTCTTATCAGCTTTAGATAAAATGGTAATGAATTGTTGCAGTGTAAGCTGTTGGCCCCAAAGCTCACCTTAGGAATGACATAACCTTGGAAATTCACATCGCTAGGTGTTGATCGTGACACACCCATTGGGACAATATTGGCAAATCTTTGTATTTCGTGTATCACCGCATCTGTGTAAGGCATCTTTTTCCGGTCCTCCAGCTTCGGCATCTCTCCTGGTTCAATGACCTGGTTCATTTCTTCCTGAATTCTTCCTTGTGGGGAGGAAAGGATTAAGAAGTTGATACTCCTCTTATCTTACAACTGAAATAGTTTGGCCATGATGAAGAAAAGGGAAAACTTTGGGGGGTGGTTGGGAAGAGCAAGAGGGAGGTGGTAAGTCAGGGCATGGTGTGGTTCTTTCAGTTCTACTCTTGAGCCAAGGGAGCTTGAATGGAGCACTACAGGACATCCCATGCCTGGCTCTTCCTGCACACCTTTGTTACCCCATGGCCTTCAACAGAAACCAGATTGGGAGCAGCTCGCCAGGAAATGGGAGACCTTTAGTGACATATGCTGATAGCCTGCAGGAGAACAACTATGGGGAACCTTCATGTGGCTTCAGGCTGCCTCTCCCACCTGGCTGGGCTGTTTTATTGCAATCCATCTGAATAAAACCCCTTTGTAAAGTCAGTGGTTGTTATCTCTCTCAGAGAACTCACAATAATTACTCTAAACAGTGCTGAATGAGTTCCACTCCCTTCCATAACCCAAGCTTTATGCATGCAACAGAATATCATACAAGAGGAATTCTCTGCCTTACTCTGAATTTCTGGGTATTTCATCATCAGAAGGAGACCCCAGCGCATGGTTGTAGAAGTAGTCTCAGTCCCAGCAGCAAAGAGATCCAGGGTTGAAAACAGCAGGCTTTCATTGTGGAACATACTGTGGGGTTTCTTTGACTCCTTCAAAACAAACAGGCAACAGCTGTAAGTTCTGCAGCAAGTGATACCAGAAGTGACTACATTGCCACCATCTTTGTCTGCATCTTAGGTTTTTGTGATTGACATGCTGTGGGAAACAAAATGTGTAGTATTTTAGTATTAGGACTTACATGGTATAGAACTTGTGTGTATCCAGCCTCCAAATCTACATACTGGGTCTGTAAGAACTCAGTTACTGGAATAAGGTTTGCCATCATATTATTCCTGCAGGGAGGTTGTGGATGGTCTTTTCCCTACATGTGTTGAGTGGCAGCTAATTTCAGCACAACCCCAACCAGCAGTTCCAGCAGAGTGATGGAGTGATGGAATGATACAGCACTGCTCATCATGAGGATGAGCTTCAACATGTTCTGCTCAGTGCAGTTCTGTTCTTACTCACTCTCCATCCCTGACAGATGACCAGTCCTAATAATGAGCCAGAGCCAAGAGAATCCCAGACTTAGCTTTGAAGTACCTGTTGCTGCTTCATCATGAAGGCATCAACGAAGCCTGTTAAGTTATTCTCATTAAATTCTTCTTTGTGCTCCTTGAAGAGTTTCTGGAGGAAAGCACTCAGCTCACTGATATTTTGTAGCACGGTCTTGGAAGCTCCAAGGAGAAATCCAAGGGACGGGTAGAAATTATATAACTGTGGAGCAATGGAAGCCTGTTAGTTGGTGTTTTGAGCACATACAGATATCACAAAGGTGAGCTGCACTGAGCTCAGCAGTGCAGTGTGTCATATGGACGTGGTGTTTGCAGCAAGTTTGGTCTCGCCTCCATCCTTCCATGAGAAGTCTCTCTTCTGCAAGGAGACCCCCAAAACAGTTTCAGTTCTGGAGGTACACTTGAGAGGGCATTTTAGTGGCAGTCTCTGATTGTGAGTGATGCATTGTGCTTCTCCTCTTGAATGGAGGGGGAATTAGTTCCTTTGAAGTGAAGACTGTTTTTCTTTCTCTTACTGACAAGCAGCAGAGAAGGAGCCCAGGGGCCGGGGAATCTGTGTGCTGTGGATACAGAGCTGCAGCGTGTTCAGTACAGGCTGCTGGTGGTCTTGTTCTCCCCTCAAGAAGCAAGGTGTGGGAGGCCATGAGGACAAACACCATCAATCAGACATGCCCCCAAAAGCGAAGACTTAAAATCAAGCCCTTACCAGCACCATTGGAGAGCCCAGCAGCTTGGTATTCTCATTTAACAGCTTCAGCAAAGTGAGAAATTCTGGATCATCGTATTCAAACCTCTCTCCAAACAGTATAGAGCAGATGACGTTGGATACAGCATTGTTGAGGATCATCTTTGTGTCAAATGGTTTCCCTGTAGTTCAGGCAATGCAAACAAATGAGGATGGGGTGATGCCCATTTTGCCCTGTGGTGCAGGGGTGTGCTGCTGAGGTAGGGAACAGCTGGCTGGCCTTAGATATTATCAGGGAATGCTGTGCAAAATGCCACATTCAAGGCATGGGAAAAGAACAGAGATTTGGTCAGGTTTCTGTGGAAATGTGGTCCTGAGCTCCCTCAGAAAAAAACTCATTTACCACCCAGAATGCATGGTAGGGAATCTGGTTTCAATGTCTTAAGGCTGCTGTTTAATCACCTACCTGAGCACATGCTGAACTTTAACCATCAGATACCATTCGCTCAGTGTTAAACTTTCGTTACTCTTTATTGTTCTGCTAGACACGTTTTCTGTCTCTGGATGAAATTCTTCACACTCACCTTGATAAGATTGAAAATATTTAATTAGAGAATTTAGTTCCTCAAGGATTCGGACCTCAATCGTTCTCCTTCCCATTCCGAAATCTCTCAGTGTGGACAAGGTGAATCTTCTCATAGTTTTCCATAACTCTCCGTGGCTGAATGCTATGCCTAAAATGAAAGTGTCAAATCCTTATGCTACCTGTGGTCAGTAAATGTGAGGCCTTGTTACAGAGCTACTCAGTACATGATTGTACAGACAAAAGGCAATCATAAGATGTTCTCTGCTGTCTCTTCAGACCAACTACAAAAACCAATGACAAACAAAAAAGCTGTTTACCATTTCCTCGTGTCATTTTCCTAAATATGGGTATTTCTGCTCTCTCTCCAAATTCTTCAGCATGATTTAAAAGGGCATCCTTGATGGTTTCGTATCCAGCCAGCACCACAGCTTTCCTGGGTCCGAAATGCACGGTGAAGACATTGCCATATAGCTTGGAGAGCTGTCACAGTGAATAAATACTTTCATTCTAAACCAGAGCTGGATCCAAACACTACCTTCCTAGCTAGCTTCCAGCCCACAGTAACCCTTCCAGCCCTGCTCCAGGTCTCCAGGTGCTGCTGTACTGTAACTGCTGAGCAACGGCTATCACTGCCAGCATCTCTCCTTGCACCCTGTTTGCACAACAAGGTGTCTGCTATCGCTGCTCCTATCAGATGAGCAGTCAATAAAAAAGCACTGCATTCCTGTGGTGCTCTGCAGCAACAGGCCAGCATAGCAAATACTACTGTGTGCAGGCTGTTTGCAAATGCTGTAGCAGGCAGGCTGTTTATTTTAATACCACTGACCTGAGGCAAGCGGGTGTGCGCACCACTTCAGGGCTGAAGCCACAAACACTATGAAAACAAAGCTAGACAATAACTCTTTCAGGACAGCACTTGTCCCTAATTATTGCAAGGTGGGTAGTGTTGCAGTCATAGCAAAATTATTTGCTGGCCACCAGAAACTTCAGTCTAACCAGGAAGCATTCTCTTGTAGACAATGTCACAGGAGCACTGGGCTTTTATAGGAAATTAAATATGAATCATCTGTCACACAGGAGAGTGGCTTTGACAATCTAATCACTCACTTGGTATTTTAGCTTTAGTTTAAACACTGCGAGCCATCCGCTCCAAATGTCTCCTTGTTTCTGACGTGCCTGAGTTACCATTTGCTATGCATTAGATGCATACCGAAAATTGAATTTCAGATTAGAAGCAGCTCCTGTTATTACACCAGACAAATTAAATTTGTTTTCATCAAATGACCATTTGACAGCTTGGGAGATAACATGAGCGCTGGTTCATGCCTCCCTAGCAGCGAACAGGCATGCAGCAGGTTTAGGACAGGACATCACAGCCACCTCCTGGCCTGCCTTTGGTTATTTCTTCTCATTAGGACTTCTTGGTGTCAGCCCTGATTTTACTCAGCAACACAAGGATTGGATGCAGCACACCTGAAAGCCTACAGCTGGTTGGCAGTGTGGAGGAAGTGAATCCGGTGCCTTCAAGAGGCATCTGTATCATGGGATCCCCCAGGACTGTCAGAAATAGGTGACTTTCCCCATGGGCATACCTGTGGTACGGCCATGGAAACTGCTCTGCACAAGCCTGATGGAATCGTAAATCAAGGCTGATGGACACTGTGTGAGTGCTGTAGGAAATCTGCATTTTGAGGCCAAGGAAGTCCTTCTTCCATCACTAACTGCAGAATTTGGGCATCTGCAAGGCCCTCTCACTGTGGCTGCCCAGGTGAACTTAGCAGGACTGGGTCTCCCCATTGTCAGCACATAATTGTGTCTCAATTTCCCTAGCTGCACTCCTTGCTTTGGGAATTGCATGCTTTCCCCCTACCTGCTTGCTCCCAGCCTACCTCTGTCAGCGACTGGAATGGCTTTTTCAGGTCCACCACATTCAAGTTTCCAATCAGAGGAAGAGGCTGTGGCCCGGGAGGCAAATTGCAAACTCTCTTCTTCCAGCTGGTGGTGAAGTAAAGGAGGACGGCCAGCCCTGCTGCCAGGTAGAGCAGCGAGCTGATGGCCATGCACTGCAGCAAGCTTGTTATGGCCATGGCTGGATCGGAAACCAGAATGTGGGTATGAGTATCCTGGAGCTTCCTTTATAGCCTTTCTGTCATCAGCTGAGCACACCTTGTGGGAAAGTGGCTTTGCACAGAGAAAAGGGCTCTCAGGTCTTGTTGGCTTCCATTTGGGCCACGTGTACATTTTTACCTGCCAAAAAAGCAACCTATTTTATTCAGAAAATTGGATTAACTTAATCTGAAGCTCCTATTTCATCTACAAGAACAGAGCAAGGTGTTTGTTTTCCAGTGTTATGTGCATGTTGTGGTCCATGTGACTTCTGGTGCAGAAGGAAAGGCTGTGCTGGGTTCTCCCATGGCTGTCCTGGTGCAGGGACCTAGTTTGGTGATGTGGCGGTTCCTGCCTTTTCTAGAGCAGATATGTGCAGTCCTGTAGGAAAGGCCATCCTCTCCAGACTTCTGCCTAGGGTGGGAAGGAGACCCCGCATGACTGTAGGCGGAGCGGAGCAGGGCTGGGCAGCAGGCTGGGCAGAGGAGAAAGGCTGCCTGGAGCTGCTGCAGAGCGGGTGCCAACTGGAGGAGCGTGAAGCCCTGAGCACTGAGTCATCCACCATGCCAGGGCATGGTCCTGCAAGAGCCAGCGTGTCTGGGGGGGTGACAGCTCACCAAGAGCCACCCGCACCCTTTGTGTCCTTGGGGGATGTTGGTGAAGCAGAAAGGATCATGAACGGGAGGCCACAGCTGTAATTGGTGGCCTGAGGGGAAGAAGCCAATGTGTATCTCCATCACATATTCTCAGGTGGGGATATTTTGCTCCCCACTTGCATATTCTGTCTGATTACCAGGCTGTGCTGCTGTTCCATCCTTTAGAAATCTTTGGTTTTAATAATACTTTTTGCTAGAATCCTCCAAGGCTCCTGGGCGCAGGCTCTACTGATGGAAAAATGATTATTTATTAATAATAATAAAAGTACATTAGCTGGAGGCAAGAGGAATCAATAAACTCTAATTAGATTGACATGAAAAAAGGTGCCTGCATGTCTGCCTGATCTCTATAGCTGGTTATCAGGGTGGAGGGAAGCTTTTTCACAGGGGGATTTACCCTGCAGGGGAGGTTTGGTTGTGTCCTCAGGATCTGCTGCACAAGTGAGAAGATCTCAGTCTGTGTCCTCTTCTACTGGAGCAGAGGTGGCTAATGCTATAGAAAGGAGAGTCTTCTCAGGGGCTTTCAAATTGCTTCAAACACAAGTTGTACCTGGTGATAAGAGAGCGTGAAATCTTTTCTCAAGCAGCGAGCTGATGGACTTGCAGCCTGCTGGAGCCATGCCTGGAAAGGATGAATGAGCTTTCCACGGGAGATGATCGTGGAGTTTTAAAATACCACTGATGCCATTTCCTCACCTCCATCTCTTCCTCACAAACCTTGGCTTCCACTATGTACTCCTAAGCACTTTGTTGGCTTACAGGGCTGGGGAGTAAATTCTGTTCTCTGCCCACAAGTGTCTTTGTCTTTCTATCAGCACAAGCCAGAACCAGTACCACCTTCAGGTAAGCAGGATTTGTGGGCATAGCTCAGGGAAATAATCAGTTCCTCCTAGGAAAGGACCCTGTACATTAAACAGCCTCACTCATCTGACTTCTGTGTGTTCATCTGGAATCAATCTGGATACAATCTTCTAATGGGACATGGGGTAATAATGCTATGGTAACAGTTGGATAATGCAGAGAAAGAGCTATTATAAAGCCATAACTCAGTCAATGAGTTCTGATAACATAATAAACCACAAGAGTGAACACCAAGGGCTTGTATGCCTTGCAAGTCTCTGCAACACATTTACAACCACATGAGATGCCTATCAGCCATGCATTGTTATCAGGGATATATAAACCCTTTTAAACATTAACGTTTTTATAGACTCGGATGTGTTAAAACTCAGGTAGCTCCTTGCCAAGGGATTTTGCTCACCTTGACAAATGCCAATGCAAAAAGAAATCAAAAGCCTCAGACTTTGACCTTCCTTTTTTTTTCCCAATAATTATTGCAGTGTTTTATTGGATTCCACCTGCTTCTCCCCATCCTGCAAAACAGTATTTCTGTGGGATCACTGCAGGATACCGCTCAGTGTTTGCTATGGGCATTTTGGTAAAGATAACTTGTACTGGATTTCTATTCATTTGCCTGTCAAATCAGTCTGTTACACACCTACTTTGGAAAAGAAAACCCCTGAAAATATGCTTTTAAAAATCATTTTACTACAAATTTCCAAAGTCTGAAGGATTGTGATGGGTCTGGCCACTGGAGGAAAGCATTTAAAACCAACCTCTGCTTGGGCTTAGCATACTGTCTCTGCGCAGAGCCTAAGGTGACACTCTCTCCCACACTTTATGTCTTTACCTCTTTTAGCAACAAACTGTTCTCAGAAACGTTGCTCCTTTTAAAAGCATTGCCCTCAAACTGATTGTTGTTGTTCCTGCAGGAGCCTCACTCTGTCTCAAACAATACAGCACGTCCTGGGACTCGGTGCTGGTGATGTGCTTTACAATAAGCACACCTATAAAAATACCTGCAGTCGGAGCCCTTGTGTCCACAGTCAACAAGCCGAGGCAGCCTGACCTAAGAAGTTAATGCTGAGGAGTCCAGGTTGTGACAAATTTATTTTCTAAATAGGACTGGAGAATTCCAACACCTCACTTAGCACCAAGGCTCTTTTTGCCCAAGGTTTGCAGCTTCAATCTTTTCAACACAGCACAGCAGAAGTAGTATTAATCCAGGAGCAGTTCGGGATGTACTGGATAGGAGGAGGATTAGTGGGGAGGTATGTAGAGCCAGTGTTCCAGCATCTCAGTTTTAGGTCCCCTGTCTTGGAGCAGATAGAGATTTGGATTTAGATATACCAGGATTGAAACTAGCAACATAATAAGTTTGCTTTGGCGAACACCATCATGCTTCTATTTCTGCTGTGTTCCCTTCTACCCTGGTGAGGCTTTGACTCAGTCATTACAGAAAATGATCTATCATTCTGTACACCTTTGCAGAGTGCATCGCATATTAAGGCCCTGACCTTACTGGTATGAAACTATGATTTCCCCCTAAGTGCAAAACAATAACGTTTCATTAATCATCCATAACAGAAATCCCCGTTCCCCAGACTACTGGCAATAATCTACATTTTTGCTTGTCTAGGAACTTGAATTAAAGGGGAGAAAAATGGTTTACAACAGCCTGTGGCAGTGATGTAGCAAGAGACTTTATGTAAGAGCTGGCGGAGAGCTGACGGTGTGAGGGTGAGGCGAGCAGTGAGCTGCTGGAAGGATGTTTCTCTGAGGTGTGTTCTGTGCTGGAGCTGGGAACAGCAGTCTCAAGGGCACAAATTCCAGTGCCTGAATGTGCTTGGTCTTGTTCAACTGATTCATTTCTTACAGCTATACCAAGCTGAGCTGCAAAATCACCTCCTGCTTTACTCAAAGGCTTTCGCAGCCTGTTGATAAATTATTTTCCAATTAACTACGTGCTGCTTGGAGCTGGAGGCTCTCAGAAGATGCAGCAAGGTGAGGGAGAGAAAAGAGTCACAGTCTTTGCAATGCTCCCACCAAGGAAGAGAGGTTCTGGTTTCTGCTCTGACATGGCACGTCTTGGTGGTGCTTCCCAGAGCAGTGCGGGGTGAGTACAAAGCCCGTCTGCAGGTGCATCTGTACAGCTGGCAGATAAGCACCGACAGGGCTAAAGGTTTTCCCTGTGATTTGACAACGCTGTAAAAGAGCAAACTTTTGCTTTAGTACATAATTAATGACTATCAGCTCTGATTCAAGCTGTTAAATCAAGTTAAACTTGAAAGCCCAAGATTTTCCCTACTTCAGGGAATCACCCTTTCTGAGCTTTCTAACGCGTGGAAAGGGCTCCGGGTAGAAGCACTGTAACACACTGGATGCTCTACAAATGACCTGATCTCTCCTTTTCCCAGATCCCCCTACACCAGGAAAGTCTCTCACTTCTTTTAAAGATTATATGTGAAAAGCATTTGATTCTTTGTTGGTGACGCTGCTTTGCAGCTTTGTTTTTACTGAATTCTTTTTGTTGGCTTAATCTGCAAATTAGATTTTTTCTCTTATCAAGTATTATCTAATGGAGGTTTTATTTAATCTCCTTGGGAAAAACACATAATAAACTGCTAAAGCACTTGTATGAGATTCTAAGACAAACCTTACCTTTAAAGGAAACTCTAGAAGATACGACTGGCATTTGCAATAAAGCATTAAGTAAGCATAACCACACACCTGGCCTGAATTCAGGTAACTACAAAAACTGAGATTCCACAGGAAGACACTGAGTTAATTGACAGGCAGTTAAAGCATTTGAATACGATACAGCCAGGTGATGGATCCTTTGCACAGGATCGTCTCTGTTTGGGAATAATCCCACTGTGGGATCTCTGTATATCTTTTCCTGTGGTTTCTCCTTTCATCACGCAGGGAATTGGGGTGAACTGCTGTGTGGGAGCTGAGGAGCACAGCTGAAATCAGAAACCTCAGCTTGAGCTGCTCCTCTGCTGCTCAGCTCCCTGAGTTAGTTGTGTGAGCTGATGAAAACGGAGTCTCCTTTTTGCTGGTAACTGTTATAATGAAGTCAAGTGGAAAAGTGCTACTTACCCTATAATAAAAAAAACATCCATTGTCCATAGCCCTGAAAACGCAATAATAAATAAAACCTCATCTTTCAGGCTGCGTAAACCAATCGCTTATGTAATAGAACATGGTGTAATTTTCCACTTACAATCTCAAATACTGTAATAAGAAAGCAATCAAAGCACAAACAAGAAAGCCCTGTAAATGGTGCTGCAGGTGATATTTCCGTAACGGCCGTCCCAGCAATTGCAACCGTTTTCTTTTTTTCCCTCCCACTTCACATCATTTCTACTTATCTCAGTCATTTAATTAAAAGAAAATCAACTTAAAACTGGTGAAAGACCGCCTTAACCCGGTTGCAGCGGGCAAAGAGGAAAAAAAGAAGGCTGCAGCAGCACAACCCATGGGTAACACTGGGGTGCAATAAACCAACACCATCCCTCATCCCCCTGTGGGGATGAGAGCTGAGGCTCTGCAGGGCCTGCTGTGCTGTACACACACGGGCAACACAGCGTTTCCCTTGGCCTCGTGTGAGCACGCCTGGTGTTGGGTGAGCATCCCTGGTCCTTTGCTAACACCTCTGTATTTGCAGACAGATGCACCAGGCGCCCTCAGCCAGGCCTGGCTCACAGCAGCAGCATAGAGCTGCTTTCCCTGTAAACACATCTGGCACCGATCGCATAGTTTTGCTCTTTTCCCCTCTGTTTACAAACAAACAAATAAACCACCTTTCCCTCTGCTGATGTAGGCAGCTTGCTGTGACCCAGCACTCCCAGCCCTCACATAGCCAAATTACCAAATAACAAGGCAACTTTGAGAACAACGTGCTTTATTTCCCTGAGGGGGATTTGGCCCGACCTTCTGGCCTGGGCAGGGTGTGCATGGTGAGGTGTCCATGGCGGGGTGTCCATGGTGAGGTGCCCATGGTGAGGTGAGCATGGCAGCCTGCGGCACTGACGTCACGCTCGCCCCCGCCATGTTGCCGTGGCGACGCTCTGCACGCGGCGCGGATGCGTCCCCAGGTTACCATAGCGACGCCGAAGCCGTTTCCATAGCGACGTGGCCCCGCCCCCTCGTTGAGGCGACGATCACGTGCCCCGCTTTACGCTCTCGGCGCTCTCGCGAGAGCGGCGGGGCTGGCGCTGCAGCCATGTCTACCGCTATGAACTTCAGCGCCAAGAGCTTCAAACCGCGGCCGCCGGACAAGGGCGCCTTCCCGCTGGATCACTTCGGTGCGGTAACGCGGCTCGCCGCCGGGCCCCGCTCCCCTTCAGCTCCGCGCGGGCCCCAGCCCGGCGGTAGCACGGCCCCCCGCTGTGTGTTACAGGAGAGTGCAGCGCCTTCAAGGAGCGCTTCATGCAGTGCCTCCGCGACAGCGGCTTCGAGAGCGGCGCGTGCCGGGAGCGCGCCATGGCGTACCTGCAGTGCCGCATGGACAGGCAGGCGGCGGCCGGGGGGCGCGCGGGGCTGCGGGCGCGCGCAGCGCGTGCTCTGGCACAGCTGTGCCTTCCGCGTGCGGCAGCGCGCGCGGCGCCTGTGGGGCTGTGTGGGGAGGGCGGGAGGCGGGCTGTGGGGAGGGAGGCTGTCTCAGTGCTGCTGACCCCACAGTGACGTTTCTGGGGCTTTGCCGGCCGCTCTGCCTACTTTGGGTTTGTCTACAGCGAGTAGTAGGAAGTGAAGCAGAAAACGCTGCTGTTCTGTCTGTAGTGCGGTGTGTTCTGCGAAATTGTTGTTCCTGTTGTTTCCAACCTAGGCAGCTCATGGCTAACGAACCGTTGGAAAAGCTGGGATTTAAAGATCTGCTGGATGAGAAGTCGGAGGCAGAAGCTGGGAAGCCGTGATGAAGAAAGACAGCTTTACGTCTCACAGCTTTACCTCACGTACGGGAGGAGTAACTCCTGTGTAGCACCTATTGGACCTGTATTGCAGTAGGAAGTGGGAAGGATCCGTTTCTTCCAAAATATTCTTTTTTAAAATACGATTGTTAAGGTGAGCCGAAGTGCTGCCTTTGTTTACTTCCCTCCTGCAGCCTGCTCTTAGAGGTCACTGTGGCACTTCACATGGCAGAAAACAGTGGTTGCCCGAAGTGCTCTCCGTGTCTGCGAGGACAGTAAAATCTTGCTGTAAAAAAAACAACAGCACAACAACCCTCCACCTCAATTACAGGTTACTGTTATGTGGGCATTACTAATCTGCTTGCAGCAGGTGCTTTTCAGGTGGAAATAAAGCAAATTTCTATTGCTTGCAAATTTCTATTTAATTTTCTTTTTTTGGGGTGATCTCCTTCCTACCAGGCTGCTGTTCCAGCATCAGTAGTTATTCTGTTTTTATTTACCATGCCAACATTTGACCTTTATTTTATCATTTAACCAGAAGTCTTTCATTCCAGTTGTCTTCGTTCCTCCACTTAGTGCTGCCATGTTATTTTTCACTTCCTTATGGTAAAATCAGAGGGAAGGTGGCAATGGTATTTATTTGTCTTTGAAGTAAATGTGAGTTATTTATATAAACATGTCCGGGCTTTTCTTTTAAAAGCATGTTTTTTGGGACGCACGCATTTAGCTGGTTCTCCTATACTTCCTTATTTAGTGTCCTCTGTTTGGTACATCCAGCCATTCCTGTTTTCAGAGAGATCCAGGAAAGAGTAAAATAACACTTTCTGCCCTTCATGTTGGTGGGAGGAAATGAGATTTAAATTGTGGCTCAGATCTGATCTGAGCAAAACGCAGCTAGTTCAGAAGCAGATTTGTGTTTGAAAAGAGCATTCTGTTTGCTTTCTGCTGCGTGTTTTTAGTCTGCTTCATTCCACTGCTTAAATTCTGTCTTTTGATGAGATTATAAAAAAGAAAGCAGAGATTCTATTGCTGAAATAGATGTTAAAAGACTTTGTATTAAGATGATGAACAAAAACCTTTTAGTGATGCTGAATAAAAAATTAAAATAATTGCCAACATCTTCAGATGAAAGAAATCAAATTTCATGCTTCCCTGCTCCATAATTATTGTAAAGTGACACACCTAGGAGGGCTTCAGAAAACCACCAGTAGTGGGGAATAATCAGAGGTTGTTACTTATTTCATACGTTACTCCGGATGGGAATCTGAGCAAACAGTTGCTTCCATGTTTTTCTTGATGCAGTTGGTACTGTAGAATAGAAGGGGTGATGTTTCAGAAGTCTGCAGTGAATGAACGTAGCCTGCAGAGCTGGAGTGACAGTCAGTGCACTTAAACAGCAGCTGAGGTTACACACTGAAGGAGGAGCCACTGGACTCTTTTCAGAATGGCAGAGGCCCTGACTCTGGATCTGTTGCAGGAGGGATCGTGGGAGCAAAAGTAATTTCTAAGAACTGCACACCGTGCCAGAGAAAACAGTGCTGTGTGCTACTTGTCTGCCTGCAGTTCTACCCCAGCACCTCGGTGATGTGGCCAGCAGGACCCTGTGTGCTATGGGCTGACTGTGCTGCTGATCTGCCAAATGGGTGCATTGTGCTTCATCTTTCACACAGTAACTGCAGAAGTGGTAATTGCCATCCCAGCAGGGACCGCTGGGGTGGGAATTGTGCACCTCTCACCAGCCTGTAGAAGATAACATCATCTGGATCCATGAGTACATCTCATCCTGCCTTCCAGCGTGGTGAGTCAGCTTCACAGCGCTGTTCCTTTCATGCCAGGACAAGACTAAGGACTGTGAGTGGATAGTTGAAAACTCAGGAAATTGACAGGAGCATCTATTTCCTGGCTGTGAGGCATTAGCTGGAGAAGATAATATGTTCTGTGGAATTGTGAGGTGAGTTCAAAGTTGGTGAGGGCTATCAATTTTTTTCAATTGAGATCTAATGTAACTGAGAAGTGGTGGAAAAATCATTAATCAGTGCTGAGCCTGGGGTCAAACAATCCTGACTTGCTCTGGCGACAAGTCATTGCAACACCAGAGCCATGTGGGGGAAGTTCTTGGAATTCAATTCATTCCTGCCAGCACACAGACTATTAATTAAGACCTTTCTCTAAAACTTGTTTATTTTAGCTTTGCTTGTGGGATCAAGTTTTGTGCTCCTTTACAATGACAGCAGTAAATTAAGCCAAGCAAATGTCTTAAGTTTGTAGCTAATCTTTCCTGTTCCTGTACTGGGAGGGAAGTTCTCCAGAAGCTGACACCAGGTTGGGTAAGTTTATTCTGGAAGTGCTGAGCTGAGGTTCAGTATGTGTGGTACAGGGGGAGGCAGTTTTGTCAGGGATGCTGATTTCTTTATGTAGTTGTTCAGAGTTGATGAGCTGCTCTGCTGTGTGTGGCTCCGGGAGCAAGGTGAGTCCCATGCAAGTGCATTAATCTTCATGTGAGAAGCTGGTGAGTGTGCCTGCTTGCACTGGTGCTGCCTTCCAAAGGCTGCCATGAAGCACCACCTGCTGACAGTCCCTGGGACTTGGAGAAATGCAAACGGTTGCAAAATGATGTTCAGCTTGGATTAATGTTCAAAATGCCTGTTGAGATGTAATGGTACAGGTGTGGAAGGCATAGCCTAAAGCAGGAGGAAGTGCTGACTGTGTTGGAATGAAGATCTATGTAAGCTGTTAAACAATAACAGAAAACAGTAAGTAAGGGGGGCTGTGATAGTCTTTCCTAGAGGTTTTTTTTTTCCAGTCAAACCTCTATTATAAAATAACTCATAGTGCTCTGCTGCTTGGGATCCTGACCTGGGGTGTCCCCAGAGGGTTCCAGCTCAGCAGTGCTGTGTGTGCTGGCGCTTAGGAAAGCCTTGCACACACATAACCCCCTTTTTTTGTTCAGTTAGAATCAGTTCAACCACTCAGTTCAACCAATCAGTTTAACCTTGGTCACTGCAGTTATTTACAGAAAGAGAACATTGCTGCAAGCCAACCCTCATTATGTCTTCCTGGAAGACTTTGAGCTCTAGGTGTATCTCCAAACAATAGCAATGAGCTCCAGAACAAGGAAGAAAGAGTTTAATAAGCAATTCCAAGGCTCTGAGAGTTCTTTTGATTTAAAAATAAATAAATAAATAAAAGCACAAAAGCCTGTGCAAAAAGCCTATGGTTGTGCTGGAAGGTGGGCCATGGTCCCAAGTCTTGTATGTAAGCAGAGTGAGCTTGTGCCTCTATGGTAAGGAAAGGTTGTTCCCCCTGGAAGAGGGATAGCAGGTGTAGCAGAGGGGCTGTGCAGTCAGTGCAGTTATGGACAGGCAGTGGGTGCAGCCAGCTGACCTTGCAGTTCTTGAATCCTCTCCCAGATTCTTCCTGGTTTGTTCTACCTGCTCAAACTGACTCAGATTAAGCGAACAAAAGACTTGAGGAAGGTACCTGCAAGGGTTATTTTCCCTTTCCTGGGTGTTTCAATGGAAATTGGATGTCTGATTAATCTTTTCCCAGTTCTTTTTTTCTTTTAATGACTGCTTCTCTGAATAGCTGGTAATGCTGCATTTCCGTCAGGATGCAGCAGTTTTCTAGCTAGCAGATTTCAAGACAAAATGCCTTCCGTCTGGTGCCATATGGCTTGAAATGCAAAAGTGATCACTGCTAGAAATAAGATCTTCATAGAAAGTCACCTAGAAGTTAATGTGTGTGTACAGAGGACTTGATAAACCTTGGTGCATCTTTTTATTTCCCGGGACTGACAGTGACACAGGGAGAGGTTTTTTCTGACTTCTCATAGAGACTGATACTTGTGTTCTCTCCCTAGCATTGCACAGACTGTTTCACCACTGGGTTGTTTATTCCCTGTATTCCAAGAGATCTTGGGACTTGCATCAGCAGGTACATCAATTTTGCTGCTGGACTTCGTTGCATGAGAGACACCCCAGACAAGTGTGACATTCATCACATAGCCCAGCAGAAGCCAGTTAGCTCTGCAATTGTAAAACAGTTCTGGTGGGCTGAATCCAGTCTGTGCTGTTCCAGCTCTGGTGGGATGTGTACCTGTTTGCATGAACAATCTTTCCCAGCTTCCACACAGAGTAAGGCAGGTTCAACTGATGTGGGAGGAACACTGCAGTCCGTGTACTGCATCCTGCTGGCTGATAATGAACAGTGCCTTACACCACCCGGAGCTGCAGGTGCTCTTCTGTTCAGGTCATATGAATTATGACAAACTGATAGCAGCAGTGATGTAAAGTAGCCTCACAAAAAGAAAGTGGGGTAGTGAAGTAAAGGAGAGTATCCAGAATGACTCAGGCTTCTAACTTTATCTTGATTTTAAAAGTAGGCAGTGGTGGCTGCTTCTGCAGCCAGTCCCTTTGGGCAACTGAGCTCTTCAACTATTTCAGTAACTTTCTAGGAGCTGACAGCTCCAATTTCTGCAGGATTTCTGGTGTCCTCAATGCCAGCAAGCCCTGTTTCACCAAGAAGTTGTTAATGTGCCTGGTTTTAATCTCGCTTGCAAAGCTGCTAATGGAGGAGGGCATATGGGAAGGCAGTCGCACAGAAGAAGTGCTCTGGAAAGCAGTCAGGCCCAGTTTGGGGTTGTTCAATTTGCATTTCTCCGTTACCAAACTGTTCTGAGTTTCAGCAAGCTTGGGAGGCGCTGCATCTCTCCTCAAGGCAGGAGATCACAGCGCTGCAGAATCTGGGATGCTGGAGCTGCCCTGAAGATTTGATGTGATGCTGTGGGCTGCAGGATGCAAGTGCTCAGCTGAATCTAATGTCAAATCCTGACTTTCTTCAGAGGAGCAGGATTTATGGAGACCTCACTTGCATCAATGCCCCTGCATGGATCATGTGCTCTCGTACAGGCTGTACTCAAATTCTTTCGTTTCTCTGGCAAAGCTGGTAGAGGTGCTGGTTTGTGGGTGAGATCCTGCTCTCATAAATCTGTTGAAGAGCCAGGATTTAATTCCCAGAAAGCAGTTCTAGCAGGAGGTGCATCTGGCTTCCTTGTATGGGGATATGGTCAGCGGGACCATCCGTATGCAGGACAAAGACAACCACAGTCTGGTACCACACTATTTTGTGATGCAGGGTGAGCAATTTGTGGTCAAAGAATCAAATGCTGAGCTCACAGTCTGCTGGAAACAAACCAGGTGGGTGAAAAATGAGAGCAAGTTCAGAACATCTCATTGTACCCTTTCAAGGCTCACACCAGGAGACCTGCAGGTGTGGTGGTAACAGCTAGAAGGACTCGTTGAAGCAGAGAGATGTCTGGATTGATTGCTTTATTCTGGCTTATTTTAGCAAATAGTAAGGGGAGGAGGGATGTTTATCACTGTAACTAATGCTGCCTAGTACTTTAGATCACAGCTCTAATAGGTTGGACTGGCTGAGACTAAATCACATTAGCAGCACTAATAACACAGAGTGGCTGGTACGGCAAACCTGCTATGGCAGCACTAAGCTGGTCCTCTGGTTCTTTGATTCAGGTTGGTGCCACTGCTCAGGGCTGGTTTGGTTATTAAAGCTTTTTCACAGAAGTCACCTGGGCAGCTGCTTCAACTCAGCACTGAAATGGCTGTTCTGTCACTCTCTCCCCTGCCATTCCCCAACCTGGCTTGGGCTTGTTTTAT